GGCGGCTGTCATTACCCGCGCAGGTCGAGAGGTTTGTACTCAGAGGTGCAGCTGTAGAAGGAGGCGCAGCTGCTGGTTGGGGTGCGAGGGTGCGGGTGACATGGACCGTGCTGATAGATGGGGTTCGAGACGCCTGTGACGCCGACACGCAAAAACGGCCTCCAGAGGTTACTTGATGTCCAGCCGGCCGCGGGGAGCGCGGCTGCATCGCCGCACCCCAACAGGGCGTTGCTACACTACATGCGAGCTTGCTGTCGTCCCTTACCGCCCTCGCCCTCTCCCATGCCTCCCACGCCCCTGAGCCCAGGGCTCGCCTTGAGCAGGGTGTGCGCGGGCCACCTCAGCCGGCACGAGGGCGTGTCACCGCCCAGCCGCAGGCACCCCACCAGCACATCGTAGCGCGGCCACAGCCCCGCCCCAGCCCCGACGGCCCCGCCGGCGCCGCCGCCCGCGGCGGGCGACGCCCCGCCGCGGCCGTCGGGCGCTGCGGCCGCGGGCGGCGGAGAAGATGAGAGGCGGGTGACTATGGTGGGGTGGGCTGGCAGCTCAAAGGACTCCCCCACAGCCTGCAGCCCGGCCACCACCTCAGGGCCGGCCGCCGGCGCAGCGCCCGCAGCCGCTGGGCGCTGCCAGGGCCGCAGAATGCGGGGCGGCAGGAGGAGCGGCGGCAGGAGCGCCCAAAAGGGGTCGGACAGCTCGGCCCTGGGCAGGGTGTGTTAAGTGGGAGAGGGCGGGGAGGGACGCAAGCGTGAGGACCCTGGCGGCTGGGTGATCCATGGCACCCGGTTGATCCATGAGCACACAGAGGGTCACGCAAATGCTCAACCATGCTGTGCTCCAAGTGCAATTTCCTGCAACCATATGCAGGGTTTAGGGCCAACTCGCTCAGCAGGAGCCTGCGGAGGCAACCAGTCCCAGCCCCCCGACCCTTCAGGCAGACTTTCAATCACACAGTTGGTGGCCTTCTGCCGCCCTCAACGAACTTGCAACACCCAGCCCCACCTGCACGCCTCGCACGCGTGGTGGCCCGCAAACTCGTCCGAGTCCCGCGCCCCAGCGCCCTCAACCGCCTGCACGGAGGCGCGGGGGTCCTGGTCGGCCGCAGTCCCCTGCGATTCTCAGTGAGAGGGCCGGAATGATGATGCTGGTGAAATAGGGCACCCCACTGCATGGGCTGTGATAGGCACGTGATTCAATCCAGCATACACAGCAGAAAAGTAAGTGATTGAGATTGGACTCAGCAGCAGCCTGACTTCTCAAGGCAACAGCAATACATCTCCCCGCTGGCAGGGACATTGGCACAAACAAGGGAAATACCATTCATCTCCACACACCTCGCGAGCGACCGTGCCCAGGTCCACGACATGATACATGGGCGCCTCAGAGCCGGTCCCTCCCCGAACATCACTCGTAGCCGCCGTCAGGAGCCCCGCCGCTGCGCCTGCGTCCCCACCGCCGCCGCCGCCCACTCGGCCGGCCGCGACGCAAGCAAGATGCTGCAGCACGCCGCAGCACGTGCAGCGCACCAGCGGCGAGCCGGCGTCAGTGGCGGCGCCGCCGCAGGGGCAGCGCAGGCGCGCGCCGGCCCCCAGGTCTGACTCCTGGGGCTGTGGCCGGGGCGCCCTTGCCGCGGGCTGGCAGCGGCGCAGCTCTGCCAGCACAGACGCGTCCACCCTGGCGACCGCGGCGTCAGCAGCGACGCTGCGCAGCTCAAGGCCCACGCGGCTGTCGCTGGGCGCGTAGCCGGCTATGCCCGGCGCTTTAGAGGGGGCAGCTGCGGGGGCCGCAGCCTCGCCTCGCGGCGCGCTTGGTGGGGGCCGCGCTGATGGCAGCCCAAACTGCTGCGGTTGAACAGTCTGCAGGGACTCCTGCTGCTGCTGCTGCTGCTGCTGCTGCTGCTGCTGCTGCTGCTGCTGCTGCTGCTGCTGCTGCTGCTTGCCTGCCGAGCGCCGGCCCCTTCCTCGCCCCCGACCACCTTGGTTGGTGCGCCCCTGCTGCGCCCGCTGTCCCTGCTGGGCCGCCTGCTGGGCCGCGCTCTGCTGCAGGTACTGGCGGTACGCCTCCAGGCACAGCGACTGCGGCCCGTCAGCCAGCAACACCTGCTGCGGCTGCTGCTGCGCCGCCGCAAACTGCAGCAGCTGCTCCCCCGGCGACAGCGGCAGGCCGGGCGGGGCCACGGCTGCAAAGCCAAAGGCGATGGCTGGGCTGCCCGCGCCGCCACCGTTCTTGACCGGCGTTGGGGACTGGAACAGGAAAGCGCCGCTCAGCTCGCGGCTGGGCATCGGCAGGAGGTGCAGCGGCGCGGCGGGCGGGGACGAGGGAAGGGGCGCGTCGCCGGGCGGGCGTGCCCCGGGTGACGCGGCCGCATCGGCGTTCGGCTCGGCCTGGGCGCCCTGGACAGCCGGCTGGCATCGCTGGTCTGGACCTCTCTCAGCGTCCAGGCCACCTGCCTTGCCCGTCCTCGCCCGCTTGGTCGGAGCGCCCTGCTGCGCGGCGCCGTCCCCGGCGTGCGGCTCACGTGAGGCCGCGACCGCGTCTGGCGCGGCCCTGCCTGCGCCCGCCCCGCCACTTGCAGCAGTGACGCCACAGCCGCTGGTTTCTGGGGGAGCCTCGACTGCACGTTGGCTGGCGCAGCTGGTGTCTCTGTCGATGGGGTCGCCGCCGCTGCTTGGGGTGCCATTGCACAGAGGTGCATCGTCTGGTGCCGGCATCTCTGCGGCAGCAGCTGCGCTGGCAGCAACGGCGGCCGCCGCTGCCACGCCCGCAGTTGCAGCAATCATAGCAAAGTCGTCGTGGGCGCTGCGGCTCAAAACGCGGGGCACCCCACTACCGCTGCCGCTGCCGGTGCCGTTAACGCTGCCGCCGCCCCTGCTGCTGCCTTTCCTGCCACCCCTGCCGCTGTTGGCGCCCAGGACCGCACCGCCTCTTCCGCCGCAACCCCGGCCGCGCGGCGCTGCCCTCGCGAGCGCGCGGGGCGCCCTTCCGGAAGAGGACATTGGCGCGGGCGTGGGGGGAGGCGGCGGCGTGAGGAGCGCGCCGCTGCTCGAGCGGTCCGGCGTCCTCTGCCGCCCTGTGGTGGATGGCTTCGGGGTGTGCTGCACAGCTCTGGTGGACCCTTGAGGCCCCGCCGGCGTCGTGGAGAGCTGCCGCTGCGCCTGCAGCAGCTCCTTCTTTGCCTTGTGCCGTGACGTGGCAGGGGGGCCCGGCTCCTTCCGCCGCTTCTTTCGCGCCGGCTCAGTGGCGGCGCGTGCGACCCCGCTGGGGGTGTCACTGCTCGGTGCCTCGAGCGCGCCGCTGCTGCCGCCGCTGGGGGTGGCGGCGGGGGCCTTGCGCTTTTTGGGGACTGTTGTCGCGGGTGTCGCAGCCGCCTGAGCTGCTGCCGTGGACTTTGCGGATGACGGGGCCGGCTTGGGGTTGACAGTCGCCGAGCCCCGCATGGGCTGCTCAGCCGCCGCAGCAGCCGCCGCCCGCCTCTTTGCCGCAGCAGATGGAGGCGCCTGTGACAGCCCAACCGCCTGCTGGGATGCCGCAGGAGCTGTGGTGAAAGAGGGCGCCGCGAGACAACCCGCTGGCCTGGGAAACGCCAGGTTTGACGTCAGCTGCGTCGCCTCTGAGAGAAGGCAGGACCCCACCTCGGGCCGCGCCGAAAGCAGCACTGCCGCCGCCTCTGCCTCTGCCGCCCGCCTGCCCTCCTCTGCAGCACCAGCCCTGGCGCGCGTGGCCTCCGCTGCCCGCCTCCTCCGTGCGGTGGCGTCCGCCCCGGCGCGGGCGCGGTTGGCCGCCGCCTGCTGTTCCTGCGTCAGCAGCACATGCACGACGGTGTAGCACGGCGGCGCCGGCGCAATCGCCACTGGGGAAAGGGGCGCCAGCTGTTGCCACAGGGGCTGCAGTGGGTATAGCGGCGCATGCGTGACGTAGCGGTGCGGCGGACACTGAGGCGCCTGTTCAACGGCAGGCGTGCGGGCGGGCTTCAGCGGCGGAGGAAGCAGACCCAGCGGCGGCGTGGACGGGCCCCTGGGTTGGCTGAGGGTGGTTGCGGTGCTTTCATTCAACTTCTCGTCGCACTGCCGCTGAAGATAGTGCTTCTCTTGTCGGTGATCATCTTCCTCCTGCTGCTCCTGCTTGGCCTGCAGCGACGCCTGCCGCGAAGCTGGGCCCACCAGCGCCGCCTCGGCCGCCAGCTGGCCCCTCGTCCTCGGGCGCACTTGCGGCGCCAAGTTGCCACTGCAGGTGGTGGGGCCGAGCTGAGCGGCGGCTGCCGTGGAGATGGGAATTTCAGAGGCCAGTGCGGCAGTGCGGGCCCCGCGCGATGCTGAGGGGTTGTCGGTGGCGGTGGCAGTGTCCGCCTGCTGGCCATTGCTCGTGGCGCCGGAAGGGTCTGGAGTGGCCTGGTCGTGACTATGCAGGGCCAGGGTAGCCTCGATGAGGCTTAGCACGGCCTGGGTAGGACGTATTGTAATGTAAGATGAAGGGGCGCCAAGCTTGATGGCAGTAGTTGGCAGCACGAGGGAGTGGCAGGAAAGGCGCAAAAGCTCCAACAACCCATGCGGCTGGTACATGTCACATGTAAGGGCGCATGCGAAGCTGCGCGCACACGCAAGCAGCGAGGGCCCCTCGCTCAAAGTAAGCTCGCTGCTCGGCGATGGCATGCAGCAGCATGTGCTGCATGCCCACAACCATGCTTGCGATTGACTGCCCTACAGCACCATGCATAAGGCCGCGGCACGTGCCCCCACCTGCCGCCGGCCCTTGTCAGAACCGGATGCCTGCTGTAGGATCTTGCGCCTGAGATCTTCCCTGGCGGCGCGCTTGTTGATGCCCAGGGTTCCTGCAACCTGGACCAGCACCTGCATGCAACCGCATGAAATGGAAATGGGAGCCGTAATGGGGCAGATGTGGCAGCGCATGCGCGGTAGCGCGGATGCTGTCCTGATGCATGCGCAGGTGGGTACAATCGCATGATTGGGTTCAAAAATCAAAGAGCGCAAAGGGGCGTTGCTGGGCGGGCTGTAGCCCATTACAGACCTAGCCCAGGGCGGCCACATACGAGGCAGCATGCGCAGCAGGCGCGGCAGCTGGGTGCGCTGGCGGGGACATGGAGGCGCCACCAAGGGGCCCAGCAGACACCGTATAGACATGCATGGATCCCCTCTACAATTTGATGCAAGCGATCCGACCGCACACGAGTGCAAAGCGATGATCTGCACTCTCGACAACCGAGTCGCCCTCGCCTTGGCGGGAAGCTCGCTGAGCCGGGCCTCTAGAGCCTCCATGATGAGTTTCTTACTTCCGTGATTGCTATCTAGCACGAACAAGAATGTGCGGAAACATGCGCATGCACTGGTTATCATCATATCATGGGCGCCGATTTCGCACCTGCTGGGCTTGGCACTGCTGCGAGTCCCTGCAACTCAAGCTGACTGGCTGGTTTGACAGTCGTTATTTCATGTCGTACCCCAGACTATAAAGACTACAATAAAAGGAGCTGGAATCTATGTTACTCACAAGTGGCCAAGGCACGTGCCCTGCCTACACAAGGGGGGACATGGATACGTACGGGCACTACAGCGGCAACGGGGCCCGATGCGACATTGCAGCCGCATATCAGGGTCTCTTCAGGGGACAAAACATGCGCACATAGAATGTCATGCGCGAGGGGTGTGATTGTACAATTTGCAAACAAGCTGTGCGCTACAAAACGCAAACCGCCCTAAAGGGCCGATGTGGCCATTGACCGCCGCTGCTGCTGCCTTGCTTGCTGCCACGCCGGAGTCGCAACAAGCCCGGGCCTGTTGCTGGCCGCGTCAGTAGCGCCGTTTGTGCCTCCCCTGCTGCTACTGTTGCCGTTGCGTGTGCCGCTCACGGGGGCCCCACTGCTGCTCAGATCTGGTGGAGCAGGGCCGTACACGCGCCGCCGCTGCTGCTGCTGCCGCTGCTGCTGCTGCTGCTGCTGCTGCTGCACCACCTGCTGCACCACCTGCTGCACCTCCTGCTGCTCGCCCCCTGCCTGTCGCTGCTGCTCCTCCGACCGCTGGTCGACCTCCTCTGACAGCGCTGATATCCGCTCAGACAATGCCACGTACTGCAGTAAAAATGGAGATCAACGTAGCAGAAGGGGGAGTTTGATGATTATCATTGCAAGCGTGCTCCACATACATGGCCACATAAGTCTTATCATGCAACAACAAGACGTGCACAACCCCGCGAATGAGGGGACAGTGCGACATCCGCTTCAAGCTGCGCCCCTGCGCACCCGCTGTGCCACCGCATCTGTATCCAGGTCATCAGAGGCTTCAAAGTCCTTCAACTCCCAAAACAGATCCTGGAGATCGCGGTGAGGTTATGCGCCGATAAGGAGCTGAAGAGCACAAGTGCAAAACCGGGTGATCGTATCAAGAACGCCGAAACGTGCTTGCCACCAACCACCACAATAGTCATAAACACCTTGCCTGCCTTGACGCAGTCGGGCATGTCCGCAAACGCAGGGCTGACCGCGGCGTGCGCACAGACAGTCAAGCCAGGGACGCCAGACTAGCAAGATCCCTCCTTGCACATGCTGCATCGCACAATCCCCTCGCACGCCCCTCATCTCGAGCCCCACCTGCAGCTCCGCTAGCAGCTCCCCAGGAATCTGCGCTAGCAGCTGCTGCAACTCGTCCTCATCCGCGCCTTCAGAGACCATTTGGGAAAAGTAGCTGCCCGATCACGTGGGGGTGTAGCGGGGATGCACACGAGGGTGTGTGACTGTAAAGCAACTTTCATAGCGTGCGTGTGCAGGGGGGATTGGACATATTAATCAGACAGACTCGCTCAGAGCAGCGAGGGCATAGCTGGCGTCCTTGCAGCTGGGCCACCTCTCACCCTGTTGATAAGCAAAGCATTGCACAGGCAAACCCACCTGCTGACAATGAAAACGATGCAGCAGCACGAAGGACGCTGTGCTAAACGCCAACCTAGTCACAACTAAAGCTCGGTCATGGCCAGCATGAAGTTATGTAAACACCTACCTCAAAAAGTCTGACGGCAGTGAGGCGTCACGCAGCATGTCCATAGCGAGCTGCTCCTCATCCGACAGCTCCAGCGGCGAGGCGCCCGCGTCAGGGCCGGCGGCAGATCCAAAGGGCTCAAACTCATCATCTTCGCCGAGCTCCGCCGCCTCCCGCAGAATCATTTCAAGCTGCGGCAAGTGCTCGGGCGGCAGGCCGGCGCGCATGCTGGCGAGCGTGGCGGGCGTCACGGTGCGGCGGAATTCAAGCAGCTTCTGTCGGTAGGTCTTGCTGATGGCGCTTTGCAGCAAAATGAAGTCCTCCGTCTCCTGCTCGGGGTCCGTCGGCTGCCTGGTGCTTGCCGAGTCCACCACCTCTGCCGGCTGCACGGGTCCCCGCTGCACGCCGCGAATGCTTTGAGGTTGATCACTCCTGCTGTTTGAGTACACCTTGACGCACCTCGGAGCCCTGCAGGCTGCAGGGCACCCGCTGCTGTGCCGACGCAGCACGGACTGCATGGCGGCGAGCGGTATGTGAAAACAAATAAGCTATGGAACGGGCGCGTCTCTCAACTTAAAGCTGTACATCACTAAAGATCACTTTATCGAGGATGTTGATCTGAATTGTCTGTAGATCAAGTGGAGCGCGTGAGAAACCGTGCCGGATACGGATAGGCATGCAACTACAGCCATGTATTCTTAATTGCTAGATTTTCGTGGGATGGCTTTGCAGGCTGTCAGCAACTGCACAGGGGTCTGTTGTGAGCGCCGTCAGCGGCACTTGGTGAGCATGCTCATGCTGAATCGAGGACGACAGAAACCCCATTTGCACCACAGTCACTGGAGACAAGCACCGGCAGGTATTGAGAGAAGCAGCGGGTGACACCCTGGAATGCATTGACTGGTTGACTGGCAACCAAGATGACTCCTTTGGTGTCAGGTCAGTGCTTGTATGCTGCTAGTCCGCCGCCCAAAAGATAGAGGCAGCTTTGGTGGGCTTACTTCAGCCGAAGCTCGGGTAGGTTGGGAGGTTGCAGCTAACGGATTGCCGGCGGCATGTGTCTTGCAGGCGCGGAGCCATGGACGGTGGGTCAACGTCGCAGGAGCCACGAAAGGTGACCCACGACAAACTGTGCAGAGGTTGTGGTGTCAAAAGGGCGCGCGGCCTGGGAGGGCAGCAGAACTCTGCCCCAAAAATTGCGTCCAAAACGGTGTCTTGATGGGAATCATAGTGCAGCATCTGCAAGTACACCTGGGCGCCATGCCTGGTGGGACGAGGCATGCACCATGCAGCATGCGGATGCACCGTTTGAAAGCCACCGCTTGGGCATGAGTAATGTGCACGACAATGCAAGCGGCATCAAATATAGGCACTTGCATCCAACGAGGTCCAACCCAGAGCGTCAAGGGCTGGAGTGCAATAGATGGCGGCAGGTGAGCCTGGCGTGTGCGCGCCCTTGTTGACAGCAGCTTCATACCCTGCCACCAGCTGTGAAAGTCCAAGTAAGCATCCATTCTGTCCAATCAGAGCTTGCCGACGGCAGCTAGGATAGCAACAACTATGCCCCCTATGATGCACGCCACCAGTAAGAAGGGTACCACGACCACCTTGGGCCGCACGTGCAGGTGGGGTCAGGGGGAGAGGCAGGGACAAGCAGGTGCATTTCAGCATGAAGCCAACAACATGCCGCATTTGCAATGCGCAACCAGCACCTGCTGCGGGTGAAAGAGCAGAGTGAGTGCATCGTGTGCGCCCTGCCGTTGGGCGCTGTAGAGACACACATTCACACACACACACACACGTGCGCGCGCGCGCGTGCATGCACGCACGGACACACACGTGTGCGCAAACACATACACAAACACGCACGAATGCATGAACCGTCACATATAGCAGCCCTGATGGCACTCCTGCATGTGGCACCCCTGTTTGAGGCACCCCCTTGTGGCATTGGCCTGATCACCGATGCCGGTACAACGAGCCTCTCACCAGGAAAAATATGCCAAAGAGAAAGCAGGTGTCGGCCCTCTTGGCCTTCGCGGGCTGTTTGAGGTGGTCCTCGATCAGCTGCATGTTGCGAAAGTTGGCCTTGTAACTGCAGTGAGAGCGGTTCACGCAATGCAGGAAGGTGCGGTTTGGGTGAGCTACGCCGCGGCAGGAGGGGCCAAACAACCATGAGGCCAGGATGCATCGTACACACAATTTTCGGGCATGAGCAGAGAGCCAGTCATACACAGCCGCGTCCCACATCCACGTCCCACAGGTGCCGTCCCTGCTTCCGCAAGTTCCAAAATGCCATTTCAATCCGGAGTTGCGCCCCCGCGGCCGCCCCCCTCCCCCCACTCTCCCGTCCCCAACCCAAACCCCAGCACAGCTTTGTAAGACGACGCTGCATGATCGTGGCGCCTCAGCCTGAAGCGCACCCGAAGTCGAAGAGGTCTCCCAGGAAGGGCACGACCCCAACGCACGCGTCCACTGCCTGGTTCACGGCCATGTGAGCCACCAGCCTCTTGGGGAGCTGGTACCTGTACAAACAATGTGTGAAGTTTGGAGTTGCTAGGTTGCTGTCAGTGGACGCTCTAGGATGGAAGATGCCCAAAAGGTCGGGGTTCGGCCGGCCCAGGTGCTCAGCGCCAGCAGCGGGGTTATCAGCAGTGCAGCTTTGACACAGAAACCAGCATTGGCCTTTTTTAAGGGGCATACCCGCCCTGTGCTCACTGGATGGCTCTGCTGACGATGTAGAGGCCCACCATAGCACCCCACGCGTCACCTGTGCGCAAGAAGGCACAGCGCGAGCATCAGCCGCCCGTTGCCAGGGGAGCGAGCGCCACTTGCGAGAGCCAAGTCGCTTGACTATCAGTGGCCGCCTGACCAGCAAGGCCCTGATGCCACGCCCATGGCGAATGATGCTGCCAATGCGCTTCCGCGCCAAAGCCCGATACTCAGGTAAGTTGTACAGGAGCCACGCATGGCTGCAACACATCTTAACCATTGATTCTGACCTACGTAGGGGATCATGCCGATGATCGCATCTGCGCCAAACTTGTAGCTGCGCAGCAGACAAAGTGCGAGTCCAGCGAAAGCCAGGGGGTGTCAGTGAGGACATGGCATGACGCGGTGTGGGCAGTGCGGGTTTGGACCGGAGGGTGCCGGGCAGGGGGGGGGAGGCAAGAGGTGCATCATGGCAGCACATGTGCGAATGGACTGCGAGCTGAACCAATTGAAACCACTTGTTAATCTTTTGCTGCTGCCATAGCTGTCCCGATCCACTTGCCCTGCTATGCACGCCCCATCGTTGTGATGTCAGCCCCATCACTCACCCTACGATGGGCACTGTGATGCCGGTGTCCATCAACTTGCACAGCCTCTGCATGCATACAAAGCGGAACGACATAGATGTCGGGGCACGGCAAGGCCAGCCCGGCCAACCACGGACCCTTGGATGCCAAAATGCACGTCACACCACGCCCGCTCGACCTGTACCCGACAGCTCACGCCCGCGCCCGCGCCCGCTCACTCGCAGGTTGCGCAGAGATGCCAGCTGATCATCATCAAGAGTGTCCCCCACAGCAACCTGTCCCATCTCTATGTCGGCGGGCGCTGATTTGGCCGAGCGCTGCGGCCCTTGTGTCCCCTGGACGCCCGCAGGGCCCGGCGTCGACATGGCGCGCGACGATGTGCCGAACGTGGTGATGGATTCGGGTGCAACGGGCTCCCCTGTGTGTAATTCATGCAATGAATATGCGGCAGCGCCTGAGGCAAGCGCCCAAAGCTTGACGCTGCTGCAAACTGTTCAGTTCATGTGTTATCGCCCGCGGCCCGTCCGCCTAAATGATTCGGCGCTTACCGAGTTCTTTCGGCGGCGGGTAGTACTTTTCCTTGAAGAGCCCCATGGCTGCTGCAAGCGATCTCCGTTCCAATGAACGTCGGCAGCACTCTTTGTGCAGCAAGCAATGAGGTATGCGGGGATCCACGTGTAAGCTCCGAGTTGCATATGCTGGACAGCGGCAATCCTTCACATCGTGAGTACCGTAGCAATTTCAGGGGGTAGCGTGGCTGCGCCCAGGCTGTGTCCGGGGGGAGTGCTGTAACTGCAGTTGGTGATGCCGACCACAGGTGCCTGAGCCTGTCTTGCCCCAACAACCCTTCAGCTGACGCAGTAATTGTATCCTCTTCACTGCATGCATGCTGCGATGGAGATCGGCTATTACATTTACACAGCAATGCTTTTGCAGCAATGCTCAGAAGTGAAAATGCTGGCACGTGCCTGCGTCCTCTTGACATGCATGGATGGTGCATGGAAGCTGCTGGGCAGTGGCAGCAACCGGGAAAACTTCGCGGCGTGTTGGCGGACTTGCATGTCCGGGGGGGGGATCATGTTCAACAACCTGCGCACATGGTATCAAGCGTAGTCCACACTCATGATTTGCGATGTGCGTGTCCCAAAACCCTGGACTCGCGGCTGGACATGACCTGTCCATGCGCATGTCCCAGCAACAATTTCTTCTTTGGACTCTGTTTGGAGCCACCCATGATTATCATCGACCGGCATAAACTCCAACAACATTGACCTGCGGGTGGTGGTGAGTGTACCTGGTGCCAAAAGAGCCACAGTATGCATCGCCGTTCACTTGTTGTGGAAAATGCAGCAGTGCTTCCAGAATTACATGGGTGCACGCATGGCCGCAGCGGCTCTGCTTTCAGATGTACGTCAAGTGTCAGCAGCAACAGCGCGAACCCAAGGAGAAGCTGCACTTCTTGCCCATCGCAGCGGAGGGCCCTTATACAAGGCAAATAAGACGTCTGTTCTCGTGTTATGTGACATATCCGCGTTTCCTGGCAGCAACCAACGGTGGTTTCGATTTGAAAACCCCCGCTCCGCGGGCAAATAGTCGCAGTCACGGGCGGCAGAGGAGGTTTAATAGCTAATCAAACTCCTCAGATATGCCCGGAGACGGGAATCGGGGCTGCAGGGGCCCTGGAGGGCTCCCAATAGCTCTACTGGCAGTGGTGGTGCTGGCTTCTGGGGTGTCGATAGTGGCAGGGCAGTGCATTCCAGGTGATTAAGGGATTATTAGTTGTCTCATAGGAGCTTAATCGCAGGGATGGCTTCTGCGGGGCTTTCGCGGGCGTGATCGCCCGCGGGTTGGCCGGGCGGCAGCACATCGATGACAGAGCAGCCAATTTATGCAGCCAATAAACATCAGAAGCAAAACATGCGGCTCGTTGAAACGAGGAGCCGGTCAACAGCTGGCGCTGGCGCACACGGCGCAGCGCTGCTGCTTGTGCAATGCATGCGCCTCTCGCCCACCCTTCCCCTGCACCTCGCATCGCACTGCCACGCCGCACCGTCGCACAAATCCTGCAACCTGTCACCAACCACCACCAGTCTCCGCCGAGTTTGTGCTCACTGGCCTCAGCCGCGCCGACGGCAACCGAGCCAACCACGAGATCGGGATCTGCCTGCCACAGTTCACGGTCAACGTCAGCACCTCGTGCATGCTGTCGATCAAACCCAAGTACTCTACATCTTCCTACATCTCACTCTTGGTCACTGGCTACGGAAAGGACGGGGGCCCAAACATGCCAATGGCCAGTGACCCTGCCGGCCATGTGGCCGAGGCGGTCAACAAGCAGGCGGGCTACTACTACCTTGACCCCAAACGCTGCCCCCAGTCATACTCAATGAAGATCAAAGGCTCCAAGCTGCTAGCAGCAGGTGCGGAAAGCGCTGGTGGTATGGGTTGAGGTTGTGCGGCGGCAGTGAGCGCCCTGCGGGGAAGGCGGAGAAGGCAGCACAGGCAGGCGCGACCCTCCGGCTTCGTTTTGAGGAGCGAGCACGCCCCTCTGTTCAAGCAGATGCTTGGAACACGGCCTTTGGGTCCACAGCAGCAGCAGCAGCAGCAGTAGCAGCAGCAGCAGCAGCAGCAGCAGCAGCAGCAGCAGCAGCAGCAGCAGCAGCAGCAGCAGCAGCAGCAGCAGCAGCAGGAAGGCCAATCTGTGATGGGTGGCGGCAGGAGTGGCAGCGGTAGAGGGAAGTTGCCGGGCAAGCTATGCACAAGCACACTGGTGAAGGGGGGCTCGTCGCGCTGTGATGCCAGCTTTGCAGGATGAGGCGATCCAGCAGTGGTCAGGCGGCAGAGGTGCCATGCAGGAGACATCCTGTGTTACGCTATACGCACTGCTCCAGCTCTGCGCACTGCTCTGTGCAGCTCGCTGACTCAACGCACCTCACCCCCAGATATCGGCTCACTCCTTCGGAAGGGCATCGGCGTCGGCGAGGTGGTGCTGCCGAGCGTGACGTTCTCACCCAACGGGATGGTCATCACTTGGAAGACCACGGGGCCCTTGGCACAGGAGCTTTCGTACACGGTGCGTATGTTGCTTGCAGCTTGAGCGCGGGTGTGCGGTATCAGTCACAATAGGTGGGCAAACAGCATTGTGAAGGTACGGCACCGAGCCGCAGCAGCTCTGCATTTGGGGGTTCAGCGGCAGAGCCAGTGTGACGTCAGAGGCAAACCTAGCTGGGGCAGCAGCAGCAGGCGCGACAAGAGGCCGGGACGTCATGGCTATGACTGTCAGAAGCAGCAGAGCTTGTTTGGCCTTTAAACAGGATGGGCAGCCCAGCTGCTGCGCCATGTGCTCAGGCCCGTATCCGCTTGATCAGCAGTGCTTGCAAAGCTTGGGTGTGCGACATGGTGATACAGTGCCCTACTCCTGCGAGCTTGCTGCTATTCCTGCACTGCGTCCTGGCGGTTGATCAACTGTCAAGCGGTTCCCTGATCCCTCACCTGATGCCCCCCAAATGCACAGGCCATCCAGAAGACAGGCGGCCCAACCATCCCCGAGTTTTCCGCCTTTCAGGGCTCCCCAAACAACTACTGCTCCCTCCTTGACATCAACCCCGCCTACGACCTGGACTCCAACCCCGCCGACGGCATCGTCGATGCCAGCACCGCCACGCTCGTCGGACGCCTGCCGCGCCCGGTCCCAGGACACCCCGGCAAGTACGTCTGCGCGATTGCGCCTGCCGGCGGGTACGTCAAAGTCAAGAAGAGCGCTGGGCTGGTCGTCCCTGACCCCATTCGCTACATCTACACGGCTGATGGCCCAAACTCTTACATGTCCTGCAATGCGGGCCAGTACCTGTACCGCCTCGGAGCAATCCGTGCGCCCGACGACCCGGGCAGCGACAGCTGCCAGCAGTGCCCCAGGGGCAGCTACGCAACAAGCAGCGCGTCGCTGTGCATTGCGTGCCCCGTCAACAACTACCAGGTTCGTAGTTCAATGGGCGGGTGGTAGAGGACGGGGAATTGGTGTGTGTGCAGACCAGGGGAAGGCAGCGAGCAGATTGGAGGTCGTGCAGCCGTCATCTTGCGAAGGTTGACGGCCTGTCACACCTGGATACACACCAGGGTTGATACTGCTTCGTAGGTGCCCTGTCGCAAAGTGCGCAAATCTATCTTTCTGTGTTGCTTAAATGCTGCATCTTCCCGCAATCATCCTCACGCCAGGACAAGGCCGGACAGCGCAGCTGCAAGCCCTGCCAGTTTGGCTACGCGCCCTACGCTGGCGCAGTCCGTTGCATGGACTGCTACTACGGCCGCCCCTACTGCTCTGAGGGCTTCAGTTCCAACGAGGTTATCTACACATGCAACAGCATGCGGCTCCCCGAGGGGTACAGCCCCGAGGTTGGGTTCACAGTCGTGCGCCCCATGGACGACCCGAGCGAGAAGGCCGCCGCGGCGCAGTACTCACCCATGTTCAAGAACTGCAACGTCAACGGCGGAGGCTCGACCCTGATCGCATTCAACGTCTCGGCGGAATGCCGCGTGGACATGTATGTCGTGGGGGACCTGGGCCGCGGCGGAGGGCAGTGCTCGCAGGACCCTGTGGGGAACAGCATCAACGTCTTCTACACCGGTGGGTGTGAGGCCGACCGATGAGGCAGCAAGGTTTGAGCTCTGGGCTGCACCTCGCGTGTGACGGGTGCTTTCCATTGTCACGGTCACACTTGAGGCAAATGGACTGCCCGTTATCGTGGTGCACAAGCCTAACTTTGTACAGGAAAAAATCACCTTGTCACAAGAAATCATATTTTAATCGTCCTCCTGCAAACAATTGTTGTCAGCATAGCTTGGCGGCCACTCAACCCCCTCATCAATCACTCCTCCACTCTGGACCCATCTGCGCAATTCTTGCCCGCAGCCCCGAACATGATTTCGTCCTTGACCAGCAAGGGTGTTGGCGCGTGGGGCGTCGGCCTCACCGGTGTCGTCGATTCTGAGGGCCTCACCACCAAGATGTTCGCAACCTCCTTTGGCACACGCATCCCCGACGACTTCTCGCAACCGTCAGAGTTCAAGCTCGTTGTGAGCACCCTGGCCCGTCTTTGCGTGGGCCGGGTCAAGCCTGCACAAGCAGCTCAACACTGGCAGGATGTGCTCAAAGCAGGCTGCATGTTGGAGCGTGATAGCTGAATCCTCACTATCATAATGCTGTCTTTAAATGGCTCAGGGGTCTCGCCTTGTCCTGGCAGGGCCAGGATGGGCTAAGGCCGCCCCCTGGAGCCCCCCATCTGTGTGGGGGGGCAGGACCCCTCCCCCCCATCCCCCCGGGTTAAGGGTCACAATGTGGTGGGACTGAAGGACCCCACTTTAACACCAGATTAGAGGTTTGAGCCTCAAGCTGCACTGCTCCATTTCCCCCCATGCAGCTGCCTGAAAGCGGTTGGAGCTACTTGGGCGGCGGCGACAACGGCCAAGGGCAGAATTCCAATGTGAAGGGTGTCAATTTCGACCCCTGCCCAGCAGGTGAGCACTGCGCATCAAAATCTGAACCACTTGCATGTCCTTTGCCCTATGGGTTTGTCGTCTTGTACGGCAAGCTGCCAGTGTTCTCCCTTACAAGCATGTTTGTCACATCCGTACACTGTTTGAGGTTTGAAGCCGCTCGACCCAACCTCCCAGGCACAAACAAGGAAATGCTGAATGGAGACGGCCACTCAGACCCGGGGGAGGACCCCAACTCGCTGCTTTCACACTTCTGTGTACCCTGCGGCGTCGGCACGTTCTGCAGCAATGACGGAGGTGTGTCTCTGCTTGTATCTTGCACGCCACATGCAAATTTTACCCATTTGTGCCTAGCCGGCCCCTCGAAAGCAGCACGACGGCAATGCAGCAGTCTGCTTGGTTTGTAGTTGGGATTGTGTTTTGTATTTTCCTGTTTCTACTTGCCAGGTTGACCCTTGCCTGCACCTATCAGATGTGCAGCACACAGTTGAGACTGTGCGTCAACCTGCCGCTGTGCGTTGCAATGCCCCTCTGCAGAGTCGAGCGCACCGCAAAACTGCCCGGCCGGCACCTTCGGCCCCATCCTCGGTGCCAAGAGCCAGGAGGGCTGCGTCAACTGCCCCATCGGGACCTTCCAGGACATGGACGGCAGCTACACCTGCAGGACCTGCGCGCCAAACACGTTTGCGTCCGCGCCCGGCGCCACGGAGTGCATCTCCTGCGGCGACGGCTACGAGGTCTCGGCCGCCGGCTCCAACTCGTGCAACCCCTGCGCCCCGGGGTACTTCCGTGACAGCGCGGTGTCTGAGCTGTGCCAAGAATGCCCTGCCGGCACGAGCTCGGGGGAGGCGGCCGGCAAGTGCGCGGTCTGCGAACCAGGTGAGGCGATTACTCCCTGCAGTGGGAGGTGACAAGTGTTGAAGTGCTGAGATTCAGTGGACTTTGATGCTGCATTGATTGCAGCTTCTCTTGCGTCGATGCAATCCTCACGGTCGCTGTTATACCCACAGACTTGCAGCTGTTTCTAGGTCTTCATGTTTCAGCACAAAGTGCAACCCCAACCTGAACGCAATCACTGCCTGTCCCTTCCGACCCACCCAGGCACCTACACCAGCCAAACCAAATCGGCGTCCTGCACAGAGTGCCCCAGGGGAAGCTACCAAAAGTCCTATGGGCAACGCAAGTGCGAGCTGTGTCCCATCGGCACTTATGGCGACTCACGCGGCCGCAACGCCTGCAAGGTCTGCCCCGTGGGCACGTACAACCCCAACTGCGGCTCTGTCACCGCCACCTCCTGCGTGTGAGTTGCGCCAACGGCATTGACAAGTGGTTTGAGCTCTGCCCAATCAGCAGTCAAGGAGTGCGGCTGATCCTAGCTGCAACGTAGCACCACATCCTGACGTAATGCATGGTTTCTGTGATAGAAAGCATCGCCAGAGGCCCTCCGCCACACCGTTGACTCCCCACACGCTCATCGCCCCGGCCCGCCCCATCCCCCGCAACCAACAGGCGCTGCCCCGCCGGCAAGGCCGCGCCGCGCCCCGGCAGCGGCAGCTGCAGCGGTTGTGGCGCCGGCTACTACTCGGACCGCATTGGCATGAGCAGCTGCCGCGCCTGCCCGGCCGGCACCTACTCAAAGGATGGCGGAAGCCGCTCCTGCTCGCCCTGCCCCAAGGGCACCTTTGCCGACAAGTCCGCCTCCAAGGCCTGCCGCCCCTGCCCTATCGGCTTCTTCTCGCCCTCGACCGGCGCCGCGCGCTGCATGTCCTGCCCGGCCGGCGCCTTCACGTCCACCCCCGGCGCCTGGAGCTGCGCCCGCTGCCAGCCCGGCACGTACTCCACCAAGTCTGCCGCCGGTAGCGCGATCACGTGCGCGGTCTGCCCTCCTGGGTCATACAGCTACTCCGAGGGGGCCACGCAGTGCCTGCTCTGCCCCGCCGGGCAGTACGCAGACGGGTCCGGCAGTACCAGCTGCAACGTGTGCCCCCTGGGGACCTACAGCAGCGTCATCGGCAGCCACCAGTGCACGCCCTGCAAGTCGGGCTGGACCACGATGGGCATTGGCAGCAACGGCAACGGGGACTGCTCGGTGCGCGTCATGCTCAACGGCGGATGATCTGCAGCGACGGACGTCCCAAGGCCCAGGAGGTCGACCTGCCAGGCCCTGACCGCATGTTTGCAGGAGCCCCAACCGACAGGCAGCCCGGGTCACATCTCCTTGTCAGCCAACATAACGCAACGCAGTCCATGTTCAGTTCAGTAGGAGGTTGCTCTTTTGCGCGAGTTTATTGTGTGTGTACAGTTCTGGTCCGACCTTGCTTGCTGAACGCTCGGCACTGCAGGGCTTCTTGGGCGATTGCCAACGTCCGGCGCCGGCCCCAGTGGCGGGCCTTGCCTGTGTCAAGCGATGCATTCGCGACACAGCTGCCCGTGCAGCTTCTTTAGTTTGTTGCTCGTGTGTTGTCATCTCAATGCCACCCTGCCGGCAGTATTTGTTATTATGTGTGGGCCAGGCAGTCAACGGGTGTTTGGCCATGCAAGTTTGACCCACATTCAGAATTACACCGCAGAGCCTACGGCCTCCCTTGCTCAAGGTGCGATGCATTCATTGATGCCCTCCCAAAAACCGTGGTTTCCCCTGCGCCAGGCCCTTACACACTTTCTCCCGGCGCGCCAGCAGCGCTTTGGAAGTGCTGATCCTGAAACACAATGCAACGGGTGCACGAGCGCTGCAGTGGTGCAGGCTATGCAGCCAAAACACACATCAAACTCCCATGTAAAACGGAGATCAAATGTTGCAGAATAAATCTGCTGGACTCTGCAGCGATGATATATATGGTGGTCATCTTGGCGCAAGCTGGGCCCGCCGAAGCACGTGCCATGCCCCAGCATGCCGTCACTGCCTGCCCAGTGGCTGCACGACAACGTCCCTCGACAGCCGCTGCGTCGCAACAGTGTATGTGTATCTCAGAGTGAGTAGCCGTGCAGGTCACGAGACACTTCTTGTCAATTCTGATCCCAACAAGCCAGTGCGCTGTGCTGGCGGCCAGCGACCAGGATCGGCCGGATGACTGAGCAACGCTGGGGGCGAGCGCGTGCGAAGTCAACAGTATACCTGTATTGCAACTGCCACACCACCGGGACGTGCTGTATGTAACAGGCTGGATCGCCCTGCTGTAAGCCATGCATGCTTATCCGCTCTGCTGTGGAACAGCAGCCAAGGGCGCAAGGCATGTATCAACCGTTTCCTCATGGGCTGTATGGTCTGTGTTCGGCGACTGAGCCATCCTGCCCATTCCAATGCAAGCGGCTCCTTGCGTGCCCAAGAGCTACTCCGTGACCATGGCCCTGCCGCCGTACAGAGTGTCGGTCCCGGCATTTGTACCATGACTCTGTATGGGGCTAGTGCTGAGAGAAGGTGTGCTCACGCGCCGCCGCACACCCAGGACGGCCCCCTTGTGTTGGTTGACGTTGGGACCTGTGTTCGCATGCTCTGATCTGCAAACCCTTGAACAGCAGTCTGCATATGAACTGATTTGGTGATACTCACATATATTTTGGCCCAGGATGGGCGTTGGCATCGAAGGTATGCTCATATGCACGCCCCCAATGTCACCTGCAGGGCGTCCAGTCACCTTGGGCACCTCAACCTGTGCAACTGCAGAGATGATGACCCCAAGAGGGCGTTTGTGCCTCACAGGCGTCTTGCGTGGGAGTCTATCATAACAAAACACTGCCGATTGCGATATTCATGCATGTTACGGTCGTACCGTAGTGTAGCCTGCGTGTGCACCCGGCCCATCAACGAACGCGTCATCTGCAAAGGCTAGGCCTGCGCAAGCTCCCTTTCTATGTCGCAAGATCTGGGCTCTGAGCGCCTGTGCCGCGCACTGCGCGCCGTGTTGTCGCTGGCGACGCACCGCGGCCGCATCGCCAACGTGCGGGCGGAGCAGGCGCTCGAGGTGCTGCTGCATGCTTCCAACGGCGCGCCACAGGCGCTGCTGCCTGAGGATCTGATGCTGGAGCTTTCAAACGCGGTGGCTGAGCAGGCGGCGTCCGACAACCGCGCGCGCGTCGACCTGGTGCTGCGGACGCTGCTGCTCGTGATGTCAAGCAGCGATGGCAAGTTCGTGCGGCAGCAGCAGGTGCGCATGCAGCGGTTCGAGCATAAATGCCAGCTTGCGCTGCACGGCTGTCATGCTGTGTGCCCCTGATGTGCGCGCAGCCCGCGGGCCCGTCGTTCACTTTGCCCCGCCTGATCCTGCAAATGCCAGGTCAAGGTGGTTCCCGGCCTCGCTGCGAGCCTTGCACGGCACGTGATCAGGTGGGCGGACGACCCCGACGTGGTTTGGTACGCCCTGTGCAACCTCAACCTGGTCTGCCAGCCAGACGCGAGCGCGGCGGTGGAGGAGGTCCTGGCCGCCCCAGGCGACCTGGTCGGCGTCCTGCTGTCGCTGGCGGCCCGGCTGCGCAATGACAAGGCGGCGGCGTACGCCCTCGGGACGCTGGGGCGCATCTGGACCCACCTGCTGACCGAAGGGGTCCATCCCCGCGCCGGCCATGTCCCAGCGCGCTGTGCGGCTGCGACTGCGGCAATTACGCGAGCCGCGAGCCTCTTGAAACACCACAGGAGACTGGACCCCGCATCGATTGGCGGCGTCGAGGTGTTCCTGGGCTGTGTCACGTCATCTGCTGTGGCAGCGCCACAGCTCTCATCGGCCGACTTGTCAGGGCTTGCACGTGCTACGGCCGAGATCCTTTCGTCGCCGCAGTTCCGAGCTGTAGCTGGAAGCACGAGCATCCTGCTGGTGCACCTGCTGTCGCGCGACCTGGCGGCGCGAGGCAGCGCAGCGAGTGCGTTCTTGGCAGTCCCAGCTGCGCCCGCTGCTTTGGTGCAACTGGCTTGTTGCGATGAGCCAGTCATGAGAAAAAGCGCGCTGCAGTCCATCGAGCTGGTGCTGTTTTCGCCCTGCAAAGATGCCGCCCGTGCGGTCTTTCTCCGCCTTCCAACACTCGCGGCGCTCGTCTCGACCCTTCGCCTTGATCACGATGCTTTCAACGGCCTCGCACCTGAGATGCATGCACACGCCTGCACAGTGGCCGCTTCACTGCTGCACGACGACTGCGGTGCCGCTGCGGACGCTTTGGTCCACCTCTTGGGCTCTGAGCCACAAGCAATGCGGACGATCATGCACCGGTTGATGGAGTCGCGCATGACTGATTTTGCATCGTGCGCGTCCCTTGTGATCCTAGGGGCAACCATCGACGTGCTGGAGCGGCAAACACAGGCTGCGCGCCGAACCGAGCTGGCGAGGTCGCTTCTGATCACGCCCGGCCTTTCCCTCGCTGTTGCGTGCGTCCTTGAGCGCGTGCTGCAGCATACAGACGCGCCCAATGCCAGGATGTCGTCGACCATGTATATTGCCAAGCTGGCCAACATGCTCCGGCGCATCCTTGTGTGCGCTGGGGGGGTGCGTGCAGCCGACGAGGTGCGCCACGCGTTTCCCACCCTTGCGCGATTGATCCTGGACCAAATAGCAGGGCTGGATGGCTCAGCAGCGTCCGCTGAGCTGGTAGGTCTGCTCAATCTGCTGACCCTGCATCTGCTGGAGCCACAGCAGCATCCACAGCCATTGCGGCACGGGCAGCAGCAGCATGGGCAGCAGCAGCAGGGGCAGCAGCAGCAGGGGCAGCAGCAGCAGGGGCAGCAGCAGCAGGGGCAGCAGCAGCAGGGGCAGCAGCAGCAGGGGAAGCAGCAGCAGGGGCAGCAGCAGCAAGGGCAGCAGCAGGTCCCTCAGAAAGATCAAGGGCCGGCGGATGCAGCTGCCAGCAGCAGTGGCGCATGCGTCCTCGCCAGCGCCGGCGTGGGACCCACCGGCATTCCAGCCGTCACTGACACCACTCCACCCTCAACAGCACCGCTTTCAGCCACAGCGGCAGGCAGCGCCCAGCCGGTGACAGCCACCAGCCTGCATTCCGGTGCCTGCTGCGCGTTTTGTGGGACAGCTGCTGCGGCCGGAGGACCGCGGCTGCGTCTGTGCCGCGGCTGCAGGGCCGTGCACTTCTGCTCCGACGCCTGCTTCAAGGCGGGGTGGAAGGGCGGACACAAGCAGCAGTGCCAGGCAATGCAGGCGGCGAGGCAGCAGGCGGGCAGCAGCCAGGGTTCATGATGACGACCGCGTGGATTGCAAGTTGACGCGAGGATTGCACGCTTGGCGCTTGAGTTGTCATTCAAAGGCACGTTCCTGGGTTCAATTCTGCAGAGCCCTAGGCCTCAACGGAACTATTGTGTTCTGTACAATAACGCCACTGTTTTACATTGTACCCGCCAAATTGAGGGCACGCGCGTGTGTGAATAAAGCACACAACACAATTGCAAATGCTTTGTGAGAGGGCTGGCATGCTCATGTTTGGTGGTGTTGGCGGTGTATGTCGCCTCCAACTGCCCACCATTGTTGCCGCCAAGCTACAAACCCACCAACACAACACACAACGTAACAGCTCGCCAGGGGGCCGTTTTCTGCCACAGGTTGCAGCTGATAGGTGTGGCTCACAGCAGCCTTGCAGCAGGCTCGTCACACAGCTCTGCCTACTGACACCGAGACTGACCCCGCGCCACGTCCCTGCCTCAAATTTGGACCTGCGTCATCACTTGATCTTTGCCACTGCGCGCGGCATCGGCAGAGCCCAGTCGTACTTGGCCGGCGGCACGTTCAGCATGGCGCGCTGTTGGGCGTTGGAGAGGGTTGGGCGGTGGGGTCAGGGCCAGGGTTCAGGTGCTTTCAGGTGGCAGCTTTTGATGGCACTCGAGGTGATTGGTGTTGCAACTCAACGGTAGTTTGAGCTGGGGTATCACGGCAAGGCTGCCCAACCACCAACTGCTCACAAGCCGAACTGTCAGTGAGCCCCTCCGACGCAGAGCAGTGCGGCTGCCTGTGCACAGCGCAAAGCGCTTATGGCTGGCTGCAACAGCTCTCTCACCGGCTCCCAGGTGTCCCATGCGGCAGAGAAGAACCACCTGCATTTCCCCGTCGTCACGGGCCCCGGTAAAAGGGTGGGGATGACGAAGGTGGGGTTGGATGGGATGGGATGGGGAGCTGCCAGGGTGGTTGGGTGAGGAGCGCCCTCACGCACACCATCGGTCACGAATAAACTCGTACAAACATGACACAATCCCAGGGTCTAGGGTTTAAAACGGCGAGTCTGAGCAAGCCGTGGGCCTGAGTTGCCCATGTGTGTGAGCACGTATCAAGCCCCCTTGCCAGACCCAGAGTCGGTCTGGCAGCCCCGTGGGGCTGGACTGACCCCCACCAGTTGACCAGATACTCGCGGCGGCCCCTCTTCAGGCGGTAGCCCCTGATGCACCTGTGATGCGTATGATTGGTGGATGGATTGATTGATAGACAGTCAGATTGTTAGATTGCCGGGATGACAGATATGTAGAGTGATTGGTTTGTGTTTCTCAGGTGTCTCGAGGCAGGTAGGCTTGGGGGGAGGGGGGCGGCTGCCTCATCGGGCCGCATTTCTGGAAAGCACTTGGCGACGCGCATTCCTCCCCGACGTGCGGCTTCATGGTCGAAGCTGCGGCTGCGGCGGCAGCCGAGGCGAAACGGCCATGGCCATGGCTGCTTCCTGCCCTCATCTCACTTGACAAAGAAGTTGTCGGTGCTGGTCTCCAGCCTCTCCTCCTCCTCAGTCTTCTCGGGCTGCAGGGAGGGGGCGACGTGGGGTGCGTGGGGCTCAGGCAAAGTGACGTGGGGTCGAGAATTACATGCTTTGGTCACGATCTTCGGTCATGCAGGGAACGCGTTGGATGGAGCAGGATGTGAGCAATGGTTGGTAGGAAGTTGACGCATCCCGCACTTTGGCCCCAGGGCCTGATGGCTGCAGCCTGTGGCGGATGTGGGGCCGCCGGCACGAGCGCAGCCGCCGGCAGCAATGCTCAGGACAACAGTCGCCTGGTGTGCGCCCACCCCCAGCCCCGCAGCCGTCACAGCCGGCCCTCCAGCTCACCACGCTCTGCGGGCGCACCGCCACCTCCTCTCCGGCCGCCCACGCGCGGTCCGCCTCCGCCTGCTGCTGCGGCGTCGCGCCAGGAAAGCCCCGCTCCTCCTCCGCATCCTCCTCCTTTTTGTCCTCAACCGTCCCGTCGCCGCCTGATTTGCTACCGCGGCCTCGCTTGCCACCGCTGCAGGTGCGCTTGGCGCTCTTGTCGCCGCCGCCACCGCTCTTGGCGCGGGCCCTCTTCTTCCTGCCACCCGCGGCGCCCATCCCTTGGTCCTGGCCGCGCACGTCGCGCCGCGCCTCGTCCCCATTATCCTGGTTCCCCGCCCGCCCCTCCGTGTCGTCGCCCGCCGCAGCCGCGCCCCGCCCCCCTGCGCTGGCGCCTCCACCCGCCTGGTCGATGCGCTCGTGCCGCATTCGTGCCACCGCCGCTGTTGCGTCCCCGCGTCGCCTGGACTTCCCCTGCCGCTCCTCCTGGCAAACCTCCTCTTCCCCTTCCTCCTCCTCCTCCTCTACGTCCGCCTGCTGCTCTCCCCCATGCGCCTCCTCCACCGGGGCCTCCTCCTCCTCGCCGTCATCCCGCCCAGCCTCCAACCCAGACAACTGCTGCCCAGACGCGCTGCTGCCCTCCCCGCTGCCGTCTGCCGCGCCGGCCGGCCCCTCCGCGCGGCACGCGGCCAGCGAAGCGGCCAGCGCCGGGGTGGCGCGGATGCCGCGGAGAGACAGGACGCACGCCGGCATGCCCTGGGCTGCAGTGGCGGCTGTCTCGTAGTCTGAGCCCCTTTGAATGCATGACATGTTGGGAATTCGATCCAGGGAATTGGGGGTTGGCCTTGTGTTGGGGCAGGAGACTGTCGGGATTCACATTCCGCACTGCCATGTAGGCGACACTCACAGGCCCCACTCGTACCCAGCTCTGCTTGAGACTGCCTCAGCAAGGCGTGGGCCAGCACGGCTGCAACGGCCCCAGGCCCGGCGCCAAACCGGGCTACTCAGATGGTGAGGATGGCTGCATCGGCCTGCATGAGCCTCAGGCGCTCAGCAATAAGCAGGTCAGCCGTGGTCAACTGATTGCGGTGCGCCTGCGGCCCGCACCTGAACACGTGGGCGCGCAGGGAGAAGGGGCCCTCCTTCTCAAACACGATCGTGTCACTTGGGGAGAGCAGCTGCGGGGGAGGGGGTGGAGGCAACATACAGGTGTGTGTGTGTGTGTGTGTGTGTGTGTGTGTGTGTTGAGGGAGGGATGAGTGCCAGTATGGCTGGCTGGTGCGTGTGGTGAGCGGTGTGTGAATGCTCACATCGCAAAGCCGTTGGATTGTCTGGCCGACGCAGTTGGCCCCGTCACACCCATAGTATCATCATGTTGCTCTCAAGCGCATGGCTTCTGTCCATCTTGGCCCTCAGGGCAAGCCCGTCGTGCACCCCCAACCATCTCATCACCCCTGATCCCCTCATCACCTTTTGCCCCCCTCCCCATACACAGGCGCTCGCGCTCCCAAATAAACACACATACACATGGGAGCGCTTGCATGCACACACATCCAGCCGTGCCCCCCCCCACGTGCGCGCGCGCGTGCTTGTCGGCCCACCTGGTCCTTTGAGAAGCCCGCCCACCCTCCGCTGAGGCCCACCCCTTCCTGGGGGGCCGCCTTGACC